GCGCCGTAGCCAAAAGGCGCAAAGTAAATGAAAGAATTGGAAAGAATAAAATAACCACTTTTAGAAATTTATCTGACGAACCGAAATACCAAGGTTTTTTCGTTCATCTTTGCGTACAAGATTGCTCACGGGCGCCACTGTAAAAGTGCACTGACACCTTTCCTTGTGTCATTTGTATGTTGTACATTGGTATATTACAGGGGTGGCCAATCTGTCTTCGAATAAAATCTTTGTAATGTTTTGCGATCGACTGGTCGTTAATAAAGTCGAAATAAACGAAAATGAAAACTACAAACTACAAGCCTTTATTAGTTAAATAATCCTTTTTTGACGATAATCAAATCGTCTTTCACGATTGATCAGAAGAAACAGCGAATGGCCGATTGGTAGGTTCACTCAATAACACGTCTGAATTGAGATATTCAATAAATAAAGTTCGAAACATCGACCTAGTCAACAAAAGTACGATTTGTCTCCACTTCATCAAAATATAGTAGAGCAAGAAACAGCGGAAACGGTACTTTTGCGTTAGGATCAGATGATTCTTATCAGTTCTGATCCTACCACTGGCGGAGACCAGTCCACCAGAGCATTATAATGGCCCAATGATCTAACCGGGCTTTTTTTATGATACCACTTAATCATCCATAAGTTGTCAGGTACAGTGAGTTGAAACAATTCGCAGCGCACAGTACCGAAATTACCGCCGAATCACCGAGAAACCTCTGCATAACGACAGAACAGACGCCTTGTTGAGAATAGAGCAACTGCATTTTGCGAATATGGGCAAATCCAAAGTACAACTTGTTCAAGGCATATTCATTACGCACATTGTTTTATATTCAAGCTAATAAAAATAAGGGAGGAAATTTTAGGGTAGGGGTGAGGGAAATAACCGAACATATGCAAATCTATTGTTCGTCGCTCAAAACTCGCTTGGTCTGTTCGTTTCGAAACATCGATAGCAAACATACTCGCGATCGATGTGTTAGCCACCCCTGGTGTTACATCGAGAATCGCATTCACTTGATTTTTTGTATTGACCTAAACATTGCGTCCGTTTAACTTGTGTAGTAATTTATTTGTTATTGTTGACGCCGTAATTTCCCATGATTGACAGGCTGCTTCCACACACTTTGTTACGGAACAATTGAGAGAGTCTTCGTGGCAATTGCTTGCCCAGACATGTCTCGCTGAGACGGGGATAATTTCGGTACTTTGCTTTAGATAGCGCTTTACTTTTGCAGAGAATGGCGCTCGTTTCATTGTAATTTGTAAATAAGTTAAAATTGTTTAGCGACCTTGACTTTCTGTCTTGACAGCAGGACGATTAATAAATAATGTAGATTATGACTGCCCCACATAGGCCTAGTTTAAGGATATTTTATGAGCAATAGATTGCCTTTGTGATTGTTTTTACAGTTATAGTTTATTTAATTGATTTGTTCGGATTTCATTGACGACTGATTTCATGTTCAACTTATGATAATTTAAGCCTGGAATAGCAGACAAATTCGGTATGTTATAATTTGTAACTCTTTCTGATTTGAAGGCTGCAAGTTATTTAATAGTAATTTTGTTAGACTTGCTAATTAACTATGTTTGATAAATGTGATCATAAATTTGAGTAGGCTTTCTAAAGGCCGAATTGTGTACGATTATTTATTTATTGCAAGTATTTTGTTTTGATTTGTTTTTACGTTTGTATTAAGATAACCGTGTCAACTGTATACTTTGAGTTGTGTGATTTTCTGGATTTGAGGATACAAACTTGGGGCTTGAAAGACCGCGTTATTGAACTGTTAATAAATATCTAGTGTACAGTCGGTGTCGTCCAGGTCACAAAGAACGGCTGTTACACCTGGTATATTAGATCAGAAGACCCTAAATTATGGAACGTTTATTTATAGAAAATGACGCCTCGACACGTGAAAGCAGCAAACAAATAACAGACACAATCAATAAGCATTCGACCCATAGCCCAGTGGACGGGAGCGAGAAATCGCACATGGGGTGTGATCGAAGTCCCATATTCGGATGTCAGAACTGCGGTTACATCAGGCATAGACCGCAGAACGATCTGCATAAAGATGTTCAAGAATATCAAAACATCTATACCACATATATATGCATACTCATTACACCCGTGCCACAACCAGTCCCAGATTAAGGATGAAACATCAGAAGTTTCATTCTCAGAAATACAAAATTACGGATAAACACCATTGCAATGCATGCGATGCTTATGCTTCCATGAAGTAACTGCGGACCTCCACAATTTTAAAACCGAAAATACAATAGGATAACATAGCATAAAGCTATTCGAACAACATTTAAATTAGCCACCATGCCTCACGTACGCAACACAAGTCATTTACTGATTTATTGCAACTAAAAGATGCCTATCATTCTTAGTGTGAAGAGTGTGCTTGCAACTCAGAAAATAGTTGTTTTATTATTGACGAAATCTCATGTGATCTTGCACATCACGTTTGTTCCCGGCTTTCGTCTTGATGATTTGAACTAGAGATGTATCGGGTATCGGCAATATCGGCCATTTTTTCGGTATCGGCAATGTATCGGTATCGGTTAGATTAAGGCCGATATTTCCGATATATTCACCTTTTTGATATGGCCCAGAGTATGTTAAAAGATTAGTTGGAATACTACTTTTTAATTTATTTTTTGTCTGGAAAGATCGTGAGCCATGAGCCATACATGTCCCCACCGCGAGAGAATAGGATTCACGTGTTTTTAGCTATTTATCAGCCAAACTAGCTCAACTAATTTGGCTATTTTCGTTGTCAAATTTTTATATTGACATTTTTAATATTACATAGTAATATTAAAGAAATATATCAACACAGCACATAACAAAAAGCAACTAGGCGCCCAGTTTTAAATCATACAGTGGAATTGGGGGCCTTATTAACGGCATATAGACTTTTGACAAGGGTATAAATTCTGTTTGTCGTCAAGTACGAGTGTCATTTAGTCCGTCGACATCGATAAACTGAATTCCGACACAATTATTCCTCTACGCAGGTATTAGTTTTAATTTTGTTTAACTACACAATTACTTTATAGATATATTGACAGGATCGCCTAGCCCTAGACTGTCTCAAAATATATGATAGCAATTGTAAAATATTATAAAATAGTAAAGTAAAAAAACATCCTTTTGTCGGTGCTGATTGATATTCTTTCATGTTGGCTTTGACTCATTGCGTCGACGATTACGATTAGCCACGAAATAAAATATATGTAAAGTAGGACGGCGGCGCTAGAATGTGTGGGTGATATTCGATATTCTTTTAAACACGAATAACGATATTCGAAGGTCGCGATATTATTAAAGGTCGCGATAACATTAAATTCAAATTGGACATCCCGGCTTATGAGTTTTCTAATTGAACATCGAGATTACTAGCGTTACTGTACAATGTATCTTAATCAGTTGAAGCAAACACCAAACATTAATTTCATATTATGTGATATATCTTTTTTTTCGATCTGAAATAATGTGTACTAAGAACAACGCTCAAAGACCATTGTTTCAACCCGTCTGCCCTACACAGCACACCTAATTAAGTAATAATTACATAGTATCGGTATGGGAATATCGGCCTTTTTGTAGTATCGGTATCGGCGTTTTCAGCTGGTATCGGCGACAAAAGTGGTATCGGTACATCTCTAATTTGAACGTGTAGAAAACCGCGTTAGCACAAGTAAGTGGAGACGAAAGGGATATGATTTTAAATGCAGCCATACTGATCTTTGAATATGAACGTTGCATTGAGCCCCAAAATTGAGAGAGAAGTTTCTCCAGAAAGAGAAATTGCGCAGAAGAATCATTTATCATATCCAATAGTTCGTCCTGAAGATCATCTGCAATCTTTGAGATGTCAAGTTAGGTGCGAAAGGGTTGGCTATGTTCATTTCTTCACCATCCATAATATCTGGAAAGTAGCGGTTCAGTTCTTCTTCGAGTACATATATTGTAGATGCTCCGGTATTTCTGATTTAAGCTGTTCAGTGGGATCACTTTCATGCAAGTCCGAAATATTTTAGAACATGGCAATGTTACCAAAATCAACTTTTCGACAACAAATCTGTAGTTTTGCAAAAAAAAAACGCAATGTGTCAATGTGTGTATAAACGTGATGAAATTGAGTTCCGTTCCTTGAAGTTATAAATTCAACTTGCTCGAATGCCTAATTGCTATATCAGCCAATTGCTTGCTCCACTTTTAATGCAGCCACAAAAATATCTTTTCTTTGCAGCACTAGAAACTCTTTCGGTTTTCTCCTCAGTCGGGAAACCCGACAAACAATATTATTCTTCGATAACCATCGAACTGTTCAGTAAAATTGTAGTGATTTATGGTTGGCATTCATATCTTTACAAAGCTCTTTGAATAGACAAGAATTCAATGCGTTTCCCTTGTCAAAAATAACGATTCTAATTACTAAGTTGAGCACTTTTTGGCAGGGTCTCACAAATAAGAGCGTAACGATGTATGATGCAATGAAAACCTTTCGCCTGTAGAGATTTCTCTTCCACTTTAGTCTGGAATGCCGATCTTGACCAAGGCGTTGCCGGTGCATCACTTGTACATATCCTGCATACTTAATCGCAATTTAAGCCTTCCATATCAAAACATGTTGACAATTTCCCACTAGATCTGCATTTTTTACAGAGATTTTTGAAGGAGTACAAAACAAAAATTCATTTTTGATATCACGTTCATGTATATATATATTGCACAAAAACAAGTAGTTGTGAGCATAACGCCACATCCTTGCTTTCGTAAACCTGAAAAGCAAAGAAATGAAACGCTTTAACTTCTTCAATTACTTGCTGCTTAACATCTAGTGACATATGAGAAATCCTTCTCCAAACGTTATCATCAGATAAATTTTTGTTCGATTTTTCAGCAGCGGTTTCATGACCGTTTGTTCGGGTGCCAGTAATACTCAGTTAAGATTATATAGAACAGAAATCACTCACAAAAATGTTTGAAAATTAAAAAAAAAAATTAACTGAAAGCGCAGACCCATGTGAATATATAATATCTCACTGCACAGACGAAATCGAATGGCTCGAGATCGCCACCGTGCGACATCACTCAAGCGGATCGAATTACTTGGGAGATAACCAAAGCTCCTTCAAAACTTGATTAGTTTTTGTAAATGTGTGGTGTTTCCTCCGCTATCTGGTTCATAATTTTATAGAATCTTATATTAAGGGAGTTTGTAATTATGGAGAAATCCATTTTACGCACAACGTTAGTTTTCCTCTTTCATGAAAGCAAGATTTTATTGGGATATAAAAAACGCGGATTTGGCAGCCAAAAATGGAACGGATTTGGTGGAAAAATCATGAAAAGTGAAACTGTGCTAGAAGCAGCATGTCGTGAACTCAAAGAAGAATGTGGCGTTGAAGCTAAGCAGGAGGATTTGGAGAAGTTTGGGTTATTGCAATTTGAATTCGAGGGTGAAAATTTATTCATTGAAGTTAATGCATTCAAAACAAATTCTTTCGAAGGCACAATAACTGAGTCTAAAGAAATGAAGCCGCAATGGTTTTCAATATCGGAAATCCCATATGAAAATATGTGGGCAGATGATCCAATATGGTTTCCTTATATGTTTAACGATAGGTCATTTTGGGCAAAGTTCATATTCAAAGGCCGTTCAGAAATTTTAAAATATGATTTAGAAGAAATAGCTGTTGATAAATTAGATTCAAAAAAATACCCAGATTCATGATGACCTGACGTCTTGTTACTTATCGATCTTTAGATCGGTAAGTATGTTGATAGGTATTTGTCTGTTTGTTTGTCTGTTAGATGCACGCGATATCTCACGAAGGCGTGGTTGAATCTGCTCCAAATTTTGCATGTGCAGAAGCCTATTGATTTTGGATGAATTATGTCTTATAATTAGCGATTTCTAATTAGTGATGGGACACGCGGTGTCACTATAGAGTCATGAATCGAAACCGCAGTTTCGATCGATAAGTCTTCGGTCTCCGACCGATATTCTCGTTTTTTAATTGCTGAGTTGTGACTTAAGAATCAAATGATGAAATTGCTAAGTGTTTGCAGACACAAGTGTGCCGTAATGACTGAATGATGCAAGTGAAGGTTGAAAATGGAAAAGTAGCAGGATTTTGTGCTAAACGACTGAGCAAAATTATTTTTTTTTTATCTTTTTACTATTACAATGACTGCATTTTTCAGGTCTCCTGAAGTATGCGCCACAAGTACTTCTAGTTGGCCTGGCTCTACAATTTTCGCATATGTAATTTCTAACCCCCACATGACTACGTCATCCGCCATACTTCAGGAGACCCCATTTTTCAAATGATACATAACAGACAAATTTTGAATCTTTCTGATATCTTTTAATCCGGAAAATTGCATTTATTTTGTTTGTATTCTTTTTATGTGACCAGTTGACAGATGACATTCATGTTTCACACCTCATCATATCAGTTTATATTATTTTGATTATTTGAATTTCTTATCTTATCAAGCTTAGGACTATACCATACTATCATAGTGATAGTACTAGAATATTATTAACCCTCAAAGATGACTTAGAAACTGAGATATGTTTGCAAAACCCGAATTATCTTCACTCATTTTCTCGCAATGGAAGAATTTGTTAAAGATTCCATGTCGGTATCGCTACAACTGGGTGCTCCATAAAATAATTAGGGACAAAACGTTTCAACATCAGTGTCGAAATGCTGGACTCTCAAAGACTATGCTTTCTCAAAGTTTTGAAACCTTTGCAAGGGATCTTGTATATAACGGCAACCCTAGTATTATGGAGTCACTGAAAGTGCAGTATGTTTTGGACGGAATATTAGAGTCAAAATATGAATATTCATCTATTTTCCCTTTGTTTCTCATTTATGCAAAACAAAAATTTCCTTTGTTACAAAATTGGGCAAAGCTCCATGAACTCTCTGATCTATCGAACCCTGAGAAATGGTACAGGCATGCGAGAAAAATGAAGCGTTCCATTATTTTTCATGCTGGTCCTACTAATAGTGGTAAAACTCATGCTGCACTTAAAAGGTTTCTAGCTTCGAATACAGGAATTTATTGTTGTCCTTTACGTCTGCTTGCTCGTGAAGTTTCTGCAAAATCGAAAGCTAAAAACGTCAAATGTAGTTTAATAACCGGAGAAGAAATAAAACATAAAGAATCTGACACTCATGTTGCTTGTACTGTGGAAATGACTAATTTGAACAAGGAATTTGATGTGGCTATTATTGATGAAATACAGATAATTGCACATGAGGAGAGGGGGTGGGCATGGACACAAGCTTTATTAGGAGTTCAAGCATCGGAGGTCCATGTTTGTGGAGAGCCCAGAGCAATCCCTATTGTCAGAAAACTTTCTGAGGAATGTGGGGATGATTTTTTTGTCCAAGAATACGAACGATTGACGAAGTTACGTGTAAAAAAACATGCTGTTGGTTCAATTGATAAACTAAAATCTGGAGATTGTGTTGTTTGTTTCAGGCGGAAAGATATTTATGAAACTGTTTCTGAATTACAAAGAAATGGAGAAGATGTAGCAATGATTTATGGCAAACTTCCACCATCAACTAAACGAAAAGAGGCACAGAAATTTAATAACGTTGATAATGGTTGTGATATTTTAGTTGCAACTGATGCAGTAGGAATGGGATTAAATCTAAATATTAAAAGAATTGTCTTCAAAAGTCTTGAAAAAGGGGTGAAAGATAAAAATGGTGAAATTGTCCGAAAACAACTTACCACTCCCGAAGTTCTACAAATTGCAGGGAGAGCTGGTCGCTATGGATTTCAACAAAGTGGTGAAGTAACGACTCTGTACAGCCATGACATAGGTGTTTTACATGATCTAATTTCAGATGCGAAACAAGATATAACACATGCTAGAATAAATCCCACCATGGAACATTATGTGAAATTTTCAAATAAAATGCCAAACTGTAACTTGCACCAAATACTTTCCAAATTTAAAGAATTATGCCAAGTCAATGATGAGTTCTATCAACTATGCAGTCAACGAGACTGTCTTGATTTAGCAGAAATTATAAAGAAATTAGATTTGTCTTTTACAGAAGCTTATAAATTTTCATTATGCCCAATTAATTCTGATCGAAATATTCCAGTAGCAATGTTTATGCGCTTTGCGGAATGTTACTCGCAATCTAAAATCGTAACTTATTCATATATTGTATCGATGTTACTTGGTTTTGGAATAAAACTACCATTTTTGCCAACAAGCCATCAAGAAGAGATAACAAATTTAGAAGATGTGCATAATGCCTTGGGAGCATACTTATGGTTAAGCCAGAAATTTCCGAGACATTTTCCTGACTATGCTAAAATATTTTATTTGAGAAACAGGGCAGAAAATATAATAACACTGTCCTTGTCAACAATACGAAGCAAATTTACATTTGGCAACTTTGATAGAATGTCAAAAAAGAAGAAAAAGCAGAGAAAACAAAAAATGAAACCTATTATATATTATTGATCAAAAATTGTTTTAGGCATAATTATTATTTATATAAGTTTTATTTATCATCAAAACTATTCGTTCTATTTATTCAGTATTAATATATATAGTGTTAAATCATATCCAACATGTCACTGGATGAATATAATGTACTGAAGGTAATTGGTCGTGGCACCTATGGTGAAGTTCATCTGGTAACATGCAAGAAAGATCGAAAGCAGGTTTATATTTTGCATTCATTTTTATTTTGTTTTATTTAGGATTGGTATAGAAAAGTGAACTAGATGAGTGTTGCACAGAAGTATATCGTCCTTTGGAAAGAACTATTGTATATCCTTAATAAGATCAATTGCTTAATAAGCATTGCATCATAGGATTTTCTACAGTTGTTTAAGCTTATATCTGGCTGCCTGATGTCAATTGCCCGAAATTACCATTTTTGAAACAAAAATATTGTAATGTATACTTAAAATCAAGAATTAACTTCATCGAATAGAATGAAATTTGAATGAATCCAAATATTTGATTCAATATATGTCAAACAATATTGATATTTTACGCTTACAGGATGGGCATTTATTGTATATTTTTTCCTCATAGGCAAATATTTTTGAGTTTTTACGATTTGCCTGTTGTTTGTTATACAAAATAATACCAGTTAGTGTCATTCATATTTCTTACCACTATTGACAATTACGCCTATGTGTGAGGAATTTGAACTGTAATATGCTTTATTTGTTGAAGTAGTCTTTTATTTGTTCTAGTAGCAATTATGGTAACGCATTCAAATAACATTGTCTAAATATTTGAAAAGCCTGGATTCTTATTTTCAAAACCACTTCCTGTGCCATTTTCAAGTACAATATGACAACCTCTACTATTATAAGAGTGTATGTACAATATGCATTGATTAAAGTTTCACAGTTTTAAAGGGAGTTATTGATTTGGTGAATGTTAGAGGTTCAATATGTTTATTTTACACTCTGTATTGTTTGGAATTGGTAATATATGTTATTAAAAAATCTTTATATTTTACAGTATGTTATTAAGAAAATGGCACTTGTGAAAGCTTCTGCAAAAGAAAGGAAAGCAGCAGAGCAAGAAGCCAAACTACTATCTGATCTTCGACATCCAAATATCGTCTCTTACAAAGATTCTTTTGAAAGTGAAAGTGGACATTTATACATTGTTATGGGGTAATTGAATATAAATTTAATTGGAGTTATATACCATCTTCATGTCATGTTCATTTAATTCACATAATACATTAAAAACAATTATATTTTCAAATTGAATATGAATCAATCCAAACAGTCTATGTTTAAAAGATTCTGATGAATTTTTAACTAATTTAGATACAATGATTTTTGAAGAGTTTTTGCAGCAATATCATGCGGTGTTATTTTTTAATATAGATTTAAAAAAAAATTCTCAAACCTATCTTTGTTTATATTCTGTTATAGTTTTATCTGTTGTAATTTATTACTATCAATCTACTAATAGATTTGCTGAAGGTGGAGATTTGTACACAAAGCTTCGAGACCACAGAGAAAAGAAAGATCCTTTGAGTGAACAGCGAACTGTCAGGTGGTACATACAAATATGTATGGCACTGCAATATCTACACGAAAGAAGAATTTTGCACAGAGATCTCAAAACTCAAAATATATTTTTAACCAAAACCAATATGATAAAGGTATAGCACGTATTAGTACCTATTACTTTGAATATTTTTCAATTACATATCACTTAAAAAAAATTTTCATCTGTCTTTACAGGTTGGAGATTTGGGAATCGCTAGGGTCCTAGAAAGCGCAAATGATATGGCTACTACACTCATAGGCACACCCTATTATATGAGTCCTGAATTATTTTCCAATCGACCGTACAACCACAAATCAGATGTTTGGGCTCTCGGATGTTGTATGTATGAGATGGTGACACTAAAACATGCTTTCAATGCTAAAGACATCAATTCTTTAATGTATAAGATATTAAAAGGAAAGGTAAGTTTACTGTTTTTTTGTAATTGTACATATTTTGTTAATTACGGTGACTATTGAGCTGAATGTATTTTTACCAATGTTGGAAGTCATTTCTATATTGCGTCACTACTTTCTACTTTGGCCTAATATATGTTTGTGAGACATGTTTCGGCATATAACAAACAACAATTACCGTAAGTCACTATGAGCCAGGCAGTAACTTTTCAGTAGCTATGTGCTTTGTTATAGTCAATTGACTATATAGATAATGAAAATTGTCATTCTTGATTTTTTGTCAGATGCCACCGATGCCAGATGAATATTCTTCGGCACTCTGTCACCTGATCAAAGATATGTTAAATCAAAATCCTGACAAAAGACCAAGTGTTAATAGAATACTTCGGAATCCGTTTATCAAAGAGCACATCAAACTATTCCTGCAAGAGAGTAGTAGTCGTAAAAGGTAGTAAAAAATAGAAATGTTGGTAGAGGTGAATTTTTGTCATGCACTTAATACTACTTCATGGTTGGGTCGTATTGCTTGTCATTGTGATGCTGATTACTCTTTGAGAAAATCTTCAGAATTGGGCACCTTTTTTTCTTCACCAGCCTCATTCATGCATCCCTATATCTGTTCCGACTTAGTGATTTGGGTACTCCCCTAGTGTGTGTACCAGGTTGGGGTTATGCCATAATTTTATTACGATTTTCCTATATTTAAGTTCTACTATGAGTTCGGGTACTGTCTGTGTTAACCAAGTGAATATACCCCCTGCACATAGGTTTCAATCCCTTTATGCAACTGACGTAAAGTAGGCGAACAAAATCAGTTACCTCAATATCGGTGCACACACTTCTGGAGCGCCGTTATTTTGTAATATTATTCGATTGTTTCTTTAGTGGCTTCAAGTGTTCTTGGAATGTACGTATATACATAAGTTATTTTGCAGACAAATTTTAGTGAATTTCACAATTGTTTTGTATTCAGGAGACCCGCATCAGAAAGATCATCTCGAAAAAGTTCTGTTGCATCAAGTGGAGCAGGATCACGACCAGCATCAGCACGGAAAGCGTCAACAAACAATCGGGGTAGTTGTTTATCGCCTTCCCCTCACCCACCTGCTATTGCTTCAGAACCAAATAAAGCTTCAAGAGTCGGCAGAGCTCGTTCTCCAAATTCAATCAAACCGGTATCAGTGGTGTCAGATTCACAAAAAGACTCAAACAGATCATCACCGAAGCAAAGTTCACCTCAGATAATGAAGGAAATAAGGGATCCACTCTCTCCATTATATCCAATTGATAATCCTAAACAAGAGCCAAAAGACATAAAGACCGATTATACCTCAATTACAAAACCAAAAGTTGTATCATCATCTCCAAAACCTCAAATTGTTTCACCACCATTACCAAGTAATATTTCACATGCTATCAATACAAACTCAAACAATTCTCGTCCTGGTGCAGTGCATAATGATTCAGGGATTTATGTTAACTTCGCTGAACCTCACCAATATGAAAAAGTTGAAATTCGTAATCAGCATTCATCACCAAAGCCAAGTTCTGCCAATTCTGAAAAGGTACCCACTTTTATTATAATAACAACTTGATACTGTTTCGAACCAAATAATTATTATTGAACGTTTTATCTACCAAGATTGCACAAGTCCATTATCTGGATACTCCTGAAGTATGCATACCAAGATGGCGGACACCGGAACATAGTATGTGTACCAGGTTAAGATTAGGCCATAATTCCAGGTACAAATACTACGAGAGTCACTTGGCTAGTCCCCGAACTCCTAATAGAACTGAAATTAGGAAAATTGGAATAAAATTATGGCCTAACCCTAACCTGGTACACATACTACGTTCTGGTGTCTGCCATCTTGGTATGCATACTTCAGGAGCACCATTATCTGTATCTTTCTTAAATCGTGAAGCGATACCTAATGAAAATACAGCCAGCCAGTCAGTATGTGACATGTTGTTCATACACATTGCTTCAAACAATGACTTCTAATTTGATTTCTCATGCATTCCAAAATGATCAAATTCTCTTGAATTCAAGTGAAGATTGCATTTAATCGTGATATAGGTATAATTGCTGAATAGTAATTGGTTAAATTTGATCATTATTCCATTATATTATATAGTTTGTACTTACGTAGTAATATTTCTTGTTTAATGTGATTGCTTTGTCAAACACTTTCAATTTTTTTTAATATTCTTCCAGAGTAAATCTCCTCGTGCAAATTCAGCATCGTCATCTTGTTCATCTTCCTCACGTACTTCCTCTTCAGCATCCAATGCCTCAAAGGTACATAATATGCTTCACATTAGTTATCCATCGTTCATCAAAAGTTAATCTGAATCAAGTGGTTGAATTATTTTCTTAGCTATGAGTAAATGACCTGTCACATATCACTAGATGCAGTGCTGTGAAGTATTCGGACATTTCTACATCACATAAACAATAATGGCATGTTTTCTTTTTAATTGGTATAGATCAGGGGTGGCCAACACGTCGATCTTCATGCTCCGAGTGGTCGATCGCGTCTATTGTTGGTAAATTTAACAACATACCCCCAAAATTTCCTGGAGCAGTTTCATGCAGCACCTGTTGTGTGTTTAAAAACAGGACAAATACAGTACAGGGGGTCCTCGGGTTGCGACGATCGTGACTTACGCTGTTTCAAGGTTACGAACGCACACTCCATAACACTGTTTCGAGGTTCAATCGCACTCTATAAAAATATAAACGATAATACTGTACTGTAATATCTAGCCCTTACACTGGATCATTGTGATCAAGAAAATCTGTGCTTTGGGCTCATTGGTTTTCGTAATTACATCGTAAATGACGTGAACGATTGCGAACTATTACGATTAATGAAGAATAATGACTAAGCTTCAGTCACATAGTACACAGTTTCAGTGATAGTGAACGCCATTTTGGTTGTTTCGACTTACACTGAAATTCAGGTTACACACGTCTCAAGAACGGACCAACGTCGTAAGTCGGGGACTCCCTGTACTGTACATGTGCAAAGTAGACATACAGTATTTGAGTCTGGACAAGCCCGATTTACATGTTATTACGTAAAAAATGCATGTTTCGCCGCTACCAAGTTTAAATTGAACGCCGAATATTGTGTGTTTTAACTGACAAATGTGCAGTGAGTTGAATTATTGTAAATTGGATGCTGAAATTCGAGCAGTAGTGTTACATTAATGGTTTTCGAAAATTTATTTTTCTCTATTTATATAGTACGTTATACCCAGGGATGGCCATTTCCGAATACTAAACTATTCCGAATACATTCTGAAATAATGTTTTCGAATCTGGAATTCCGAATACATTCTAAAATCAAAAATAACACACTTTTGTGTTAGTTTATTAAAACCCAGGAAATTAGAAATAAGCTTCAATAGAAATATCAGAATAAAGCCACAAACCAACAGTATATGTACACAAAGTAATTGATAGTTTATAGCTATCAATAAAAAATAATAGCAACTTGTGACACAGTCACTTTATTAAAATATTCACTTTGTACAAATGACCATATGAAAAGATAGCCAAGGAGTTGTCTAACACTTTCTATCATTAGCACCATGATATTACAATAATAGTCAAGTCTATTGACAAAAATACTACTTGTATTCAGATAATTGTGTATATTTTCTGAGAGTAATAAAATGCATTGGCAATACAGTCAACTGAAGCAAGCAACAACAATCGAATATCCATTATGCCTTTACAAATTCTAATATTTAAGCCTAGAGTATTCTACTACCTTCCAGTATATTTGTATATTAATTTATGTGAACCATATTGTTATTATGTGTAGCATATTGTTGTGTCTGAAATTAGTAGAGGATAGATGACCACCACTGCCAGCTGCGCAGCCAGGATTTTCGAAATCGGAAATTCCCATTGCCGCTCGTAACACCCACCGCGATTCCGCGCTCGTAATGATCATCCTGTTACGTAAAATATTCAATCCATGACAACTACGAGATTCTAAAATATCTTTATATATTAATTTAATGTGTCCAACGTAACTCGCCGTTGCTTCTTTTTACGTCAAAAAAAAACATTACTCTTCGGTCCACGGCGATTTGTGACCTAAAAGAACGAGATAAACTGCCTAATGTATTTAATTTTAATACGTATATTTGCAATCTTGCCAACTCGTTATCGCCGTTAGAAAAATCTCAAATAATGATATAAAATCCTGTTAAGTGTAGAGTATAATTCATTTCATACAATGAATATACATATAAAGTTTAGCAGTAAATTAAAAATACATATTCATGGCCGCGATTATGCCACCTGTTGAAAGAGTCGACTTTTACAACAAATAATATAACAACGAATATATATTTTTCTGTTGTGCAAAGTGATGAACTCGTGACCGATACGGGCATATTTAAAATGTCTTGCTTTATTCATTTAATTAATTGTCTTCAATTTAATCTGCGGTTGCGTCGACAAAATAAAATCCCTCACCACACTTATATATACCATTGCAATCCACGGTCATAAAAATAAAAACGTGTGGTAAACTGTTAAATTGATTTAATATACTTTAGATTAATAATATTATATACATCCTCACAACTCCGGGAAAAGTCGCGTTACAAACCTTGTATCATGTTAACACGAAAATATTCGACGGCAATTTAAAGTAATGGATAATCAGGCAAATCCCGCCCTCCATTCGTGACGATATGTTTCTAAACACTGCCCAAACATAATGTGGCACACGAAATTTTGCGATTTTCACTGCCTAGAAAAGCGTTTTTTTAATTTTCGCGGGCCTCAATTAAACTTATATTGTTTTCGGTTTTATTTTCAGTATTTTAAATTGCCGCTTTTTAATCAAAAAGTTGCGTTGTCTTTAGAAACTCGCCGTCGATGAACGTATTTACCAGATTCACAATTCCGTGCGCGTACAAAAATAAAATAATTGTCATCGTTATCGTGGAACAAATTTGTGGAAAATTTTCGTTTTAGAGAAAATAACACAAACGTAAAGGCGTTTACGGCCTAAATAACACATCACGTCGACGAGTGATGAAAACAATCAAGCGCAAGTTTCTAGCGAGAATGGGAAAACGGAAACGTCTTCAACGGAAACGTCTTGAAAGCGGCGTCGAAAATGTGTGACGTCACACAAACATCCGATATTCTTATGAACGCTAATTCCGATATTCGAATAACGAGATATTCGAATACTTTATTCGAATTGGCCATCCCTGGTTATACCTTTACGAAATTTACAACACTCGGGGCTAAAAATAGGCAGGTGTTAGGTCTGAATTGTATGATTTGGATAAATGGATGATGAAACATTTACTCCGGCTACTATCACATAACCAAATTAACAAATTAAATGAAACAGAAAACATACAAATTTTTGTGGCTTTTTAATTGAGAATGTGCCCACAGAGCTGAGCTTATTTGCAGTGCTGTATTTTTTGTATGCATGTTTGCAATAATCTATGCATAATCAGTACCCATTCGTTTTTGTATATGAGCTTATTACCAATCAGTCGATCGCGAACTATTTTGAAGATTTTAGTCGATCGCGGACGAAAGCAGGTTGGCCACCCCTGGTACAGATTATAGAATAAAGGATTAATTGGTCTGATTGTTTGTTACAGAGAAATAGAAGACCTTTGCCTAGTCCTGTAATCACACCATCATTCGAATACAAGCCAGACAACCATTTACCAAAAAGGTAACTTGAAGTGATATTTCGGTACTAACTACTAAATTCAGAATAAGCCTTTTACAAAGCTATTCCTGGAAAATAAATTATATTAAATTGATTTAAATGCCTATCTTGCATTATTCAATACTACTTTGCCTGTTTGGTTTAACTTGAAATTTACAAGGATGTGCATGCCAGATCATTGACCATGTGGCTAAATGCTTTGACAACGGTTTGCTTTGTTACAAACAGACAAAATAGCTTTGTTTGGGAAGTATTACAATAATATTATTTTCAATAAGAATTTTTAGTAACATGGAAAACATCAAATAATATTAAATTTCCGATAATGAGTATAATTTTCGTTCTGTTTTTAGTGACAGAAATATATTACATGCATCTGGAGAGAGTGTAGCTTCCTCTGTTGTTTCTTCTGCAACTAATGATGATGGTACTCCTAGGGTATGTGTGCTACTGCTTCTTTTGACTATTTCAACTTCTAGAACAGTAAAAACATAAGTTGTTATTTTACTGTAGATTAGTTCAGCAAGACAACGAAGACGAGAAAGACAAAGGAAAGAGAAATCAAAAACACCTCCGATTGTTGAAGAAATAAGAAGAAGTAGAAATTCCGGAATTATACAGCCAGATTCAAGTAAAAGAGATGGTAAGTAATTTATTTAGTTTTATATGCTTTTTCTCACAAATACATTGAAAGATTGAAGACATTTATTTGTCACAAGTCATCTTCTGTAATGCAGAAAATATAAATATGTTTGCGATATAAGTAATGATCCAACAGTATATAATTCTCTTGATGAAAAAGAAAATCAGCACTTTTGAGTAGCTTGGGCTTGTAACTTGTATGATATATATATTAGATATGATGAGTACAGATTCTAGAATTTACCAATATTCTCGTAACTTTATTCCAACTAGAATCAATTGATTCTAGAATATTGGTATTTTCATTGTCATTGGTGAAGTTTCAATGAGTACGGGTTGTAGCATTCGAAATCCGCTGTTTCAAACTGAATTTTAATTCAAATTGTAATTACAGCAAAACCATCTAAGGCTATCAGGACGAAAGAAAAATCAAGAGAGAAGGTGAGTTAACTATTCTCTTCATACACTTTCCTACTTACTTCTTCTGGCACAAAGTGTTATACTGTCTCCACTTAGGTGCAAAACCTTTAGTTAAGAACAATTTGAAAATTGTGTATTCTAAAGGTAATTTCAATTGTTTATATTGTAGAGCAGGGGTTCCCAAACTTTATTGGTCACGGGCCAAAATTAGAATCGGAAGGGTGTTCGCGGGCCGGAAGAGCGTAGTGCGCGATGATTTGATCACGAAATGTTTTTTTTAAACATGTTTGTTAACTCACAATGGTGCTTTATGACGTATTCCTTCAGAATTGGGTTGGTTTGCTGCCATAAAGACAAATCGCTGAAGTTTGAGTCTTTCCAATACAGAAATATGAACGCTGCCATTTTTTTATTTAAGATTTAAATAAAATCTGTTTCCAGAGTGTAGTTTATGTTCAAGCTTTCTTATATGGTTGATATCTGAATTACTGCCCTATATTATCCTAATACCTAATACGTATAATTGAGAGACGGGTGTGCCGTCTTAAACTGTAAAAATGACATAACAATTGGCAGTGTCTATAGATCACAAAAAAAGTAGAAACAAAGTCTGTTGAACACTATTTCACTTAAGCTTGACGGGCCATTTTAAATTGTTATGCGGGCCGGATTTGGCCCGCGGGCCGCTGTTTGGGAACCCCTGTTGTAGAGGGTCCATTTAGAATATACGAGAACCGAAATTCAATTATTTGAACACAGAACTTGAATATGAAACCTTTATTTTCACCAGTATTATTATTTCACCTCACAAATGTGGGAATTGGTAATACTGCTTTGACACGACATTATGTCATGATACTCATTAAACGTTTTGTTGTTTGTACAGAAACTGAATAATGAAGTATTCGCTGATGTCACTGATGGAGCTTCCGGTGACCGAGCATCTGTTGTTTCAAGGTATGTTCCATCCCTATAAGCTCACCTAGTGTATTAGATAGTCTTACTGGGGGTTTGTTGGTTAGGAAGATGTTTTGGTCATATATAATTGGACTCGATTATGTGCAGATAGTATATTTTGACAGAAATTGTACATCCTTATTTAGGTCTCATGAAAATGATACAAATCAGGCATTAGGAAATATAGAACAACAGCAACAACCAGAAATTGAAGAATTTATGACATTACTACACACCACACTCCATCTGGGAAGTGAGAGAGAGTCTAATAATACTGAAGAACAAGGAGGTGAATTGTCACCGGTTCCTGAGTTATCAGAGAGTTCATCATCTTCAACAGTAACAAATCAGGTATGGTATTTGTGTTGTCATGTTTTCGCTGATTTATTGAATGCGTAATCAAGTTACACTACTTATATACGACTCATAGTTTTCAATCTCATATACATCAACCTCGTGTCATGTGAGTGGGTCACTCATTCTCAGGCCTTCCCGATTGCTGAGTATTAATATTCAACAACAATTCTTTTCAGTCTAATCCATACTCGAGGAATACACCAGCAGCAACACCAATAAATGTACCTGGTTTAGCACCAAACAAATTACGCAGTGATGCTAAACAAGGAATATCTGGAGGTAAGCGACCGAAGACAATTTTTCTTTTTTATACCTATGGAGCAGGGAAGCATAGATGATTGAACTTTCAGACATTTTTTACTGGGGACTTGGGGTTGGTCGTTCGCTAATCTTAAGTAAAATTGCATGCAACTGGGTCTCCAGAAAAAAAGCAAAGTTTCATATTTCACATATGGGATATACAGTACTCCTGTAGTGTGTGTACCAGGTTATGGTTAGCTATTTTCATTATTCTAGTTCTATTACGAGTTGGGTGGGGACTGTCTGTGTTAGCCAAGTGAATAATAGGTAACTCCTGCCCATAAGTTTCAGTCTCTTTACACAACTTGATGTAGGCGAACAAAATTAGTCCCTTCTATATTGGTACACATACTTCTGGAGCGCGAGATATAGGCTACACCTTGAGGATTTGTGCAGAGTCCAATACAATCCCTCACAACCATGCACTTGTTCAGTGCTGACCAAAACCACTTTCCGATCACTCAGATGTATCACTTAACACTAGCAGCTGTCTGAAGCAGACTACTTCACATTTTTTGTGGTCTGCATTTCATAATCCACATTCTAAGTTAGTCTTTGTCTATAGTTCACGCATGTCATAAGCATGTTTATTATTCGTTTCTAGTTACCTTGCGTTCAACACAAAGGCTTATGGATCGCATTGTATCTCTTCGGAAAGATTGCATACAAGGTTTGGGCGTTCCACTCCTCCATCGTGCCTATGAAGTCTTAGATGCTAATGAGAACGATGACGCCTTACAGGTACATAGTTTCATATGCAATATGCATAGTTGTGTGAATAGGACTTTTGATGATTTTTGACATCATTATACTCGTTTTACTTATTTTTACTTGAAATGGTTGTACCATTTTATGGCTGCCTGACTTTATGAAAATGCAGTGTAGTGTTCATCATTTACCAGACACATATTTCTGGAATCCTAATTAGCTCTCTGTTCCTTGACAAAATCTTTTTCATATTCGTTTAGGAAGAGCTGATTGCACTGCTGGGTCGTGTGAGGTTTGAACAGTGGGCTGGGAAGATTTGGCAACTCAAATATTGTGAAGAATCTATGTTCGAACATTGTGGAACTATCACAGCCTTTTAATTATCATAAATTTTTCATATATCATATATTTTTATATGCAGTCACTGTATATTGTGTAAGCTAGCAATAAAAAAATCCATATGACAACCTATTTGTGATTCAGTCATGGCTGGGGTCTGGGGATGTTAAAGGAAAAAAAATTTGGATGTTGCGATCCCTAGCATAAACACTTCCAGTACCGTTCCATCTATGACTCAATTCAGGGCGCTCCAAATATCGATTTTTTTCAGTCTCTCCACAAAAAATTTGCTCTCAAATGGTTCTCAGGTGCTTATGTGAGTATGAAAAGAGGATCGCTATTCCAAATCTTTTGCAATTATCCAGACATTCTGAGGTCATGTTACACTTTCACATGTTCTATTTTTGTGATTACCTAAATACAAGATGGCTGACAGCTCTAACTCAATTTCCTATCATTAGCGTTTTTTTTTTTTTTGGTGATTTTGCCTACTACAATGAATTTGCATGTTTCATACCCATTTCCGTTAAATTTTTCAGAATCTAAAAGAACTTGATTTGCCAAATTGGTTTGTTAATTTCCATTAGCCGCTGCTGTACATCAAAGTAAATGACTTTCACCTTGCCAAGAATATCGTTAATTTCAAAATTATCTATCGCAATTACAATATTCACTATCTTTTCGAATAGGTGTGGCAGACTGGCGGTCAGCATTTAAATCAACCACTTAGAAACATATACTAAATATCCATAACCACTATTCTTCATGGTTAATAGTATACCTTTCTGATTTCCATGGTTTTGTTACTTGCATTACAAAATCTGACATTGAATATTGAAAAATTTATACAATCATGATAAGTAAACTATAGGAAGATGACACTGTATGTTGCTATAAAATGAATTACATGAAGTACAAATTGTCACCAGTAGACTGCTGCTAATGATGCCAAAAATGAGTACTTATTAGGGATGGGCCTGGATTCGGATCCGGACTCGAGTCGAATCCAGGAATTTTTTAGACTCAGATTCGATTTCGAGTCCGTCGTTTTTACAGAGTCTAAAATCAATTCTGTTTTTACTAATTTACGCCTATGTTTGTACTTTTACCCCTATAAATCTCACTACATACCTTAACTAGTTGAAATTCAAGGTTAGATATGTAACAATATGACTCGAACTATCTATCCTTTTTGGTATACATGTGGTACACAATAAAATATGTGTTAGCGCAATATTTTTGAGTTTTCGATTCGCGTAAATAACTATGAAACATGCGCAGGATCAACCCAAGGGGGAATCTCATCTATACCTCTTATATCGAGTTTATTACGTGCAATCATTTCTCTAAAAAGGGAGCAATGGAAAGCATGGAGCGTTTTAGAACGTTTACATGAACTACTAAATTGCAAGCATTGTATTGACGACGAGTGGTATCTCTCTACCATTTACGCACGCGACATAGTAACTCTACCATTTACGCACGCGACATAGTAAATTTAAGGCTAGAAATATCTGGAATTATGGGAAAGCATTGTAGTCAAAAGCTTTTTATTTTTCATATTGATGTGTAAGAATTTCTAAATAGCCGCCCAGAATTGACACAAGGAAATTCAGTTCACAGCCAAGGTGCACATTGACCCACGTTTACGTTTGTATTATGGCCGCCAAAAAAGAAGAAAAATATATTTCCAAATTGATTCAACAGCTATCTGCGGAACCATTAGGGAAAAATTATGAGCTACAGCGTATGTTTGTGAGCGCGCGATGCTGTAGTATGGTCAAACACGTGCTTTTCTACTTTTACATTGTGACGTCACGGACTCGGAGGATTCGATTAGAGTCCTAGACCTATTACTCGGATTCGTCAAATCTCTGTAATGCCGGACTCGTCCCATCCCTAGTACTTATACGATACCAAATCGATTTGTTTCCCGCCAATGGTAATACCACTCCAACATATCAAATTTGTTTTTTTGATTAAAGTCAGAGCCTAAAATAACTCGAGGATGCCCAAATTTGGGTCAATGCATATCACTAACTGTCCATGACCATCCCATTTAAAAGTTCACAAAACTCAAGATATATTGATGGATGTATTAGTTGGAAAAATAGAAATATGTCGGTAGTCGTTCATGCAGGATTTGGCACTTCCATACAATTGCTCAGTAGGCTGAAACCAAGAGGAATTCACATTTCGCCCCATAACACGAACAGAGGCTACCTGCTTGTTTCTGTTTTATTATGATGTTGCAGAAAGCATTTTCTTCTGCTCTTGCTGCAGTCTTATTGATTGACAGATAAAAAATTAGCACTACTGGTGCCTTTATTATGATTAATGCAATCAAAATTGTGCATTTTCTTTAAAATTCACCCCAAACCCCGTACAAAATATTCGTAAAAAAATAACTGTCATGACATATTTCTCCATTAAAAAAATTGCCAAGAGGTTTTTCCAGATGATAACATTTCTGTCGGCTGTTCTTGGTATAAAGCCATCACACCACGTCAAGGTGGCAGCCTTTGTGATGGGTTTCTCTTTACAGGAGAAACCCCTGCATACATAGACAGAAATCGGTATGCAGGGAAAAGAGACTGGGAAGAATGAAGTAGAGAATCAATACACAGAACAATCCACCAAGAGAAAAGAAATGTCAGGCTGTGGAATAATTTACAAGGAACAATCTGCATGGTGTCTTCCGACTCTAAAAAATCAAGGACTAGAAGAAAAGGCTCTTGAGCCAGTAAATATGAAAAACGACATCGCACAAATGAAAATTTTTTTTTACAAACCATTAATCAGTCACAACCTCAATATATCTGCATGATATCACATATAATTTTGCCAGTTGACTAGACAGCGTAAGCCACAAATTGTCAAGGAGTTTATCATTTTTGCCACCAAGAAATCAAATATTAATTTCACAGGCCATTGGTTCTATTGTCAATGAGATTTACCTGTAAGTGAATAAAAGAAAGAAACAACCCTACCTGATAGCATTATTTAATTTTTATGTATGGGAATTTTCTTTATATGCCAGAAAAAAATGGGGCACAAAGTATTTTCAATAAAAAAACACTATATTCAACACCATTTACACCATACAAAACAAGTTTAAATTTACACTCCTGGCTTAGGTCTGAACAGAGCTACGAGCATGCACATCACTCAAGTCTAAAAAATTATGTCCGTTTATTTTTTTTCATAAAATAAAAATTTACCATACTGAATATGGAAAATATCCCAACCATCTATTACGGTAGCTTTGCAAGAATCTGACTCACAAATTGAACACACGGCACGATTGATCTTACATTCGGATCAAAACTCTCACAAATTCTCCGCAAACTACGACCACTGCTGTTGTTTTCAGTTTGACAAAATCGTTGAAAAATCTGGAATATTAACTTTCGTTGCACTAGGGCCTAAAAATACAGTCGAATTCACTAAAAGTCCCAGTAGCGTGCAAATTTGAGATGTAATAAGAATACTAGTCATATCTTTCCACAAGGTGAGGTTGGCTGCATAAAACTTGTCGATCACATCAGATGAATTCTATCGACTTCATGTTATTACCACTAAATGAAGATGGCTCGACGCGCCACATGAATTCAGATTACTGTAAATTCTGTAAAATAGATATTGCGTTGTACTAGCTCCTAATGGTTAAAATTAACAGAACCCATTCGAGTGAAAAAAATTATCTTCATGTACAAATCTGTCCTATTGCTTCGAATAACTATTATATCCTGGGTGGCAACAATCGCGGCGAACTGAGTGATCCATTCGTATAAATGCATTTCAACCTTGTCCAGTTGACAATCAATCTTTTTCAAATAGAGCTAGCTAATGTTGTCTCTGTAAATACATAATCAACAACCCCCAACCCAGCAATAGTATGCAAAGCATACAACAAACTAACAATTCACAAGCAATTGACGTTGAAATGCATATTAATATAGCAATACTTTTACATAAGAAATTGCACACATACAATAACTTTCTTATAAGATTGATAAAATTCTAGAAAATCTTCTAATGGTAAGATGGTATTTACTAAAAAAAGAAACTGTTGACACAAATTATACAGTAAAAATTACCCAATTACAGATGTGTTTGTGTTGTTGAAAATATTTCAAGTCCGGGTTTAAATGATATTCATCCATGTGTCACCACATTCTGCACTATTCAATCTGCTAAACATGACATTAGCACCCAGCCCACCCCAAAAAAAAAATATTGAACAGTATCAAGTGAGAGGTTTGATCAAATCAGAAGTTTTTTAATACTTGTAAAAGTGAGAAAGCTACTGAATATTGGATTAGTTTTAGACAGGTTTACAGAGATATTCGATTATTTTAAATCATCTATTCATTCAAAATGCCAGGAAATCTTTTTTTTCATATTCCACTTGATTATTTACCATAATCGGGGATAGTATTAGGCAGTTTTCACCTTCATTACATTTTTTTGTCGCCATATATTTGAAATAAATCATAATGAATTCTGTTTGCAACACCGATCGATTATGTTTTCAGCTATTCGGTTTTCATGCGCTGCGCGAACTGTGTCACTACTTGAATTGAAGCTGACAGGAATTCTGAAAAAAAATCATATTTTTGTTGTCCTAGATCCTAAGAAAATGATGAAAATTACCAAGATCCAAATAAACGTGCACCCATCACTTCATCGACTGGAATTTTTTATCATCCTTGTTTCACATTATGTGGATCTACGTGGAAGATTTTGGTTCAACTACTGAATCTGCCAAATTGATATCAAAACCCCTCAATCTCCAATGAAAAAAAATCCCCAGTATCTGCTGTATTTGAAAACTGTGTTTAAACTATCTTGTTGATTTGTTTTTCCTCATTATTGATGAACTGACATACATTGTGCACGATTCTGTTTTTGCTCTTTGATCACAATTCAATTCGCCTGTAAGATATCTGATGAAAAAACACCCCAACCCCAAAAATTATGCAAAGCATAGAAGTTTAATGACAATCTTTTTGAGTTGGTACAGGTTATACAGGTACTTTGAATTGTGTATTATGGATGCTAACATTTATGCTTTAATATCATCGCTGGTTTGGGAAATCAACTTCTTTTGTCAGGACTAATTGGAAAAA